ACAACCTTTGAAAGGTGAATACTAAGAGTAGTGGCCCTTCAAGTCGGATGCAAGTAAGGGCTAACTGGGCTATCCAAAAGCCTAACCTATTATTATTATGTTTTATTGCTTGATTTTTAAAAAACAATGATCTGAGATGTGTAATCAAAACATACAGGTATGTATGTGTGTGCATTGCATGTGTGGGCATGTTTATGTGTGGATATGCATGCATGTGTACACGTGCGTGCACACGTGTGTGCATACATCATGCATGTGTGCATGTGTATCACATGCACATTGTACTGCATGTGTGTGCATATCCGTGTGTGCATATGTATATCCCTGTGTGTTGTGTGTGTGTGTGTGTGCATAGGCCGCTGACAAAATTCTTGGCTGTAAGAGAAAAAGGCTCTGAGAGGATGAAAGAAGGAAGCAGGTCCTGCCCCATGGAGAGGCCCCACTGAAACACAGGCAAGGTCGATGCAGGGGCTGCTGATAACTCAGCAACAGAGACCTGGCACAGCCAGGAAGGGGGATGAGGGTGGGAGAAAGCAGCGAAGGGTCAGACCATGAGCAGAGAGAAGCGCTCAGTTAAAAAGTGACTCGGGCTACCCTTTGTCCTTGCAAGCTCTGCTCTTCCTCCAGTTTCTGGCTCTGTTGTCAGAATCTGGCTTAATTATTGATGTCTACAGTGCATTAACTTCTTCCTTACAGAAAAAATCCCATTAATAAATGTAGATGAACCAGGAGGAAATGAAGATACCACTAGAATACCCCAGCAATACTTGCTGCAGGCAGGACCTGTTGGCGGATATTAAAATTAGTGGGTGAAAGCTGACGCAGACTCAGGGTTTTGCCCCTAAAATATTTAGTGAGTATGAAGAGGACAGTAGTAAGCTTACAGTGGAGAATCTGGACCAGCACCAATAGTCACACGAGCAAGGTTAACATCACAGTTGGAAGACACAGTGACATGAAACACTCTCCAAGAGGATACACCTGAAGGACATCTCGCTTCTGTGCTCTTGACACTGAATTGCTGAAAATACATTACGTCAGTCCCATCATGGCAGAGTGGGACAGACTCACACACAGGGACATTCCAGAGTCAAGGACCAGCCTTCTTCAAATGCATCAGGAAAGGCAAGGAAGGTTGAGGAACTGATACAGACTGCAGGAGACTAAGGAGTTGTGACAACCAAATGCAACCTGGGATCCAGACAGGATCCTGGAACAGGAGAGGGACCCCATAGGGGTGGTGGTCAAATCCAGATAAAGTCCACAGCCCACTCCCTAGGACTTAGGTAAACATGTCGTGACTGTGGGACATGGTCATATGAGGGGAGGCTGGGTGAAGGGTATATGGGAACTATCCACACTGGTTTTGAGACTCTTCTATAAATCTAGCATCATTTCAAAGTGCAACAGCCAGTGAATGTGGGTGTGAGATACCAAATGTGCTCAGTGGTCTTTGCTTGGGTCCCCCTGTGGGGCCCATACAGACTGTGCCAGGCCTTTGTGTTGCAGAGATCAGCATGGAGGTCAGTGCAGCATGTGGTCATGAGGTACGCTCTCTGTGTGATCTTCTGGGGGGCATGGAAGGGTCTTCATGGTCTCCGTAGGTCACCACAGCTCTGAATCAAGGGTGACATTTAAAGTCTGACAGCCAATGGTGCTGATTTAATATCCGGCTTCTCCCGGGATGTCCAGGCTCTGTGGTGGCCAGGTGTGGGGCTCACACAAGGAATGGTAATGCCTTACCCATACGACACACCTAGGCTGAGGAGGCATCTGGAGTGTGAGCAGCTGCCTTAGTCTGCCCGGGCTGCTTAGTCTGCTGGGGGTCTCAGCAGACATTGATTCCTCACAGTGCTGGAGGCTGAAAGTCTGACATGCAGGTGCTAAGAGATGTGGCTCCTGGTGAGGACCCTTATCATGCTTGCAGATGGCCGTCTTCTCAATGTGTCCTCATAGGGAGGACGGAGAGCACCCTAGTCCCTTCTTATAAAGACAACAATCCCATCATGAGGCCCCACACTCATGACCTCGTCTAACCCTGGTTACCTCCCAAAGACCCCGTCCCTAAATACCCTCTCACCGGGTCTTAAGGTTTCAACATGTGAACTTTGGGGGGTCAGTTCATCACAGTCCAAACAGATCTCTGAATCTCTCCCCTACCCCCAAGCCGTTCCTCTCCTGCTCTTCCCATTTCAGAAAGTGGCCCCAACTGAAAAGCTGTTTTTGGATCCCTGTTTGCTTTACTTTCCCCTGTTGGCTCTGCCTCCAGCATCTATCCTCAGTGCATCACTTTTCAACCTCTCCCCACTTGTCTACCTCTGTCCCCCCACGCTGCCCACTCTCCATCCAGCACTGGATTGAACCTATTACACCATGCAGCAGATTAGCCTATTCCTCATTTACAGCCCTCCAGCATCTGTGTGCCCCACTCCTCCTCCCCAGGGTCCACAGGGTCCTGCCAAACTCAACCCCTGTACTCCTCCCCACCATCTGCAAACCTGTCCCTGGGTATCTTCATACCCCTCGGCTGAGCCCTGGGCCCTCTGCACTAGCTGTACCTGCTTTGTCTCCCTGGTTTGTCTCTTCATCACTTAGGGATGAACTGCAGTAGCATCTGTCAGATGTGCCCTCCCCCATTGCCAGGTCAAAGGCACCACTGTCTACTCTTGCTCCCTATGTTTACTGAGCTTGCTTTTCCAGAACTTGGGCTCCATGTGCTCATCTCCTGAGTCTAGAATGGGCTTTACACACAATAGGTGCTCAATACACACCTACTAAATTAACTAGTCAATTAGCTGCTTCTTTTCCTTAATTACAGCCCTTCTGTGGAGAGGAGCAGGAGTCTGTCAGGGCAGGCAATCCCCAGAGGTTTTCTGGAGTGATATTTAGTAGGAATGCACTGCCCTTGTTTTTGATCTACAGGGGGGAACCTCATGCACCTTACATGGGGTGACTTAGGAGCCCACAACCCCTCAGCAGCTGCAGAACTCTTCCCAGCTACTAAGGAATGGCTCAGTGTGGGAGCAGAGACCCCAGCCCAGCATTCCCAGGAGCTGGGCATGGTGAACCATTAATTAACTTTGGACCTGGCTTGGCCATGGTCCTAGGAAATCTAAGGAAGGGGGAACTGACTAAACAGCTGGTGCAAAAGAGCCAGTGGGCAGAGGGCAGGGGCCTTCCCAGGGACAGGACTGGATGCTTCTCCTAGTTTATACTTTCCTGGTCATTTCCACGGTGTGGATAGTCAATTAGGGAAGACTTAGTTTTCTCCCCCAGAAAGCTGAGGGAAGGGGGTTTGCTGAGTGCCTAGTGGGAGACTCACAGACCGAAAAAAACATCAAGCCTCAGAAGGAGTAAGGAGGGGGCAACTCAGACACTCAGCTGGCCAACTGGCTTCAGGCTTTGAAACTTCATTTCTTGGTACTGCCAAGAGTCAGAGCTCTAGGCCCCTGTTCATTCCTAACTCTCCTGTAGAGAGCAGCTGATGGTTCTGCCAGACTAGGGGACTGCATCCCAGAAGTTCTAGGTGCAAACATTGCCCTGGGAAACAGCTGCAAGCCATGAGACAGGAGATGGACATAGGGCTCCATGGAGCATCTGGAGTCAAGAGATACAGCTTGCAGAGACGGTCTCTGGCACAGGCTTCCTTCCCTCCTGTAGGTATTATTTCTACTATAGTTGAGTAACATGCAGGATCCTGCATGTGCAGTTCACTTGTTACCAGCTTCTATCTTGACAATATTTGACAATCTAAAATAATACTTCTTATCTTAAATTCCTATTTCAGGTCGGTTTGATGCTGGAAAACTTCCTTCTGTTCTAGCCTTGGTTGTTCATTCTGTGTGGGCGCTTCTCCTTCCCCCTCACCTTTAATGTCTCTGTCTACTTTGTTCTGGATATTTCTCAAACATCTCTTCCTTTTAATTGACACTCTCTTTGGCAGTGTCAGTTCAATGTTTGCAGCTTCCAAGGATGATTTACACAAATCTTTTGCATGTTTCACATTTTTTGCCCTCATTTTAAGAAACTATGGCCTGGTCTTGTTTCAACACACATTTATTTTGTCAACAGTAAGCAATCTTGCAAAATCACTTTGTGTTCCTAATAGAAGAGCCACTGAAGTGCCTGAAGATATTGCTCCTTTCCTGTGGGAAAGCTTGGCCAGGGCCCAGAAGAAATACCTCTCTCTGGTTACCTAGAACCCTTGAAACTTAGCTGTGGACAAGAGTTTTTGGGTTGTGGAGATAATGTTCCAAACACAGCACTCTCTCATCCTCTCTGAAGTCAGTGGCTTCTGACAAGATGAAATTAGAGAAGGATAGAAGGAAAGTTCTCTTCTTGGTTAAAAAAAAAATTGTACTAGTACAGGATGGAGAATTGTGTGAACAGGGTGTTTAGACTAGGCCAATTTTATATAATAATGTTGAAGCAGTTCCCTCAAATGGCTACATTAAAATGTAAAAACTATTTTTAAATTTAAGTGTTACATGAAAGAGACATTGAGCCCTTCCAGCAGCTCCAGTGCCCCTTCCAGGACCTACCTGGGGAGGTGGGCAGGAAGGGCTGTTTTGAATGAATTTAGTGATTCCTTCTCCAAAGTGGAAAGTACTGTGGCTTTCGAGACACAAAGATACAATTTAGGTGGGTGTTTCCAAAACATTCCAGGTGGAATGAAGAAGCATTTCCTAAGCCTGGCAACAGGCAACATTAAGCAGGAGAAGTTTGATAGATTCAACAACATAAAATGGCAAATGATAAACTATAAAAAGAAATTTTGAAAGTCAGTAAAACATAAGCAAAAAACAAACAAACAAACAAAAAAACCAAAGAGCTGCACCCTACTAGATAAATGGGAACAGTACATACAGATTAGAAATTACATTAGTTTCAGGTGTACCACATAATGATTTGATATTTGCATATTATGATATTGTCAGATAACTAGAAATAGTTTTAAATGAAGAAGAAGACTCTGCTGGGCCAAGAAGTGGCAAACATACCTTCTTGAGTTCCAGAATGAAGGTGGGTGAGTTGGGGGTGAGGGTTCCAATCATGCAGGCCTTTGGGGCCAGGTTTGTCCTTCTGCATCAAAATGTGTTTTTTCTTGGCTTAGCCATCTCCCCCCTGGGAGTCTAGTGTAAGGATGTGATGTATGGAAGCTCATAGCATCAGAGCTAAAAAGAGTGAAATAGAAAATTTAAGTCACAGACGGAAAGAGAAAGTAACTTATACATCCAGAGAAATAAGGTATTAACACGCTATTGACCTGTATTTATTAATGTATACTTATGTTAGGTCAAAGAAAAAAAACAGGCTGTAAACCACAGGTAGCGTGAGGCCACAATGAAACAAATATGTGAGAACTAATGTCTTGTTTTAAATTCATTGTCTTGGTTATAAGTAGGGTTGAATTCCTCTTTTCCTTTTTCTTCTATGAATTACCTGTTTGATCCTTACCCACTTCCTAACTACATTTTCCCTATTGATTTGTAGGAGATGTTTATGTAATATAGGTATTAGCCATTTGCTTGTTGCATCTTTTGTAAATAGTTTTGTCTGGAATTAGTTTTCAAGTTGTTTAAGGCATGATTCATTTAGTTGTTACATACTCAGATATTCCAGTCATTTACTTTCTGTTGCTGGGTTTCATTTCTTGCTTACTAAAGCCTTCTTCACAAAACGATTTTTAAAGTGTTGTTTCCTACTTGGTTCTAAACATTTTGTAAACTTTTTATGTGTAGCTCTTTAAATACATCTGAAATTTATGTTTGCCAATGGTGTGAAAAAGAATCTAAAATTATTGGTTTCAAAAAGGATAGTAAGCTTCCCCAAAGCATGTCTTGACCCTTCATTCTCAGCTCTGGTTTGAAATGCCACCTCTATCACATAAGAAATTTCCACATGAACATAAATCTGTTCCTGGACTCAGCTGAAGTTCGGGGCGGGGGGGGGGGTTGGTGGTGGTGGCTTTTCAAAAACACCTTAAGTATTCATAAGTACTTTCTCATTTAGATGAGCTTTCATGTTAGCTTCTCAAGTTTTAATACCCTGCTGAGATTTTGGCTGAAATTGGATGGAATGCATAGATTTTTGTAGGGGGGGGGCAGAGGAGGAAGAAATCCCCCTAAACCTTATTTTAACTTTGGGGAAAAGAGTTTTAAGTGATTTGTTTCTAGGTGGTATCAAGATCTCCTCATGCCAAGCTGTCAGGCCTGTTGGCCTTGGGGTCAAGCAGAGGGAGTGTTAGCAGCATGAAGGGGCTACTGGCAGTCCAGCATTGACCATGTGTCCAGAATTATGAGTCAGACACTCTGCCCAGTGGTGGTCAAACCACACCCAGAATCGTGACTCCAACTCTCCCCCCAGAAAGAAGGATGTCAGTGATGAGTGGCAGTACGAGGGAAGGGCAGAGAGTGAGGCAGGGGAGGCTGGGTGGTGCTGGGGCTGCAGGCTGCTCAGAGGAAGAGCCACCACTTGGGGCCTCTGGATCCTGGGCATCACTTCCTCCCACCCAGGTTCACTGGTTGCCTTCCCCAGGTGAGGAGTGTGTACTCTTTGCTGGATCTGAGGAACAGGTGAATGCACTGAGATGCTAAGCAGTCAGCCTTGGCACCTGCCCACTGCCAGTACTTGACTTGAGTGGCTCTTCCTTGTCGCAGAGACATTTATTCACATCCACTATATGCATATATATAAAGTCAAACCCACCAACTTGATGGAGTTTGAATTTTTTTGAAGATCATTTGCTCCATGCCCCCTTTCTGCCATTTTCCATGTCTCTAATAGGTTGATTTCTTAATATTTAAGTTTAATCAATTCAGTTTTAGCCCTTCAAATATCCCTTTTAGCCTCATTTTAAGCTGTTGTACCTGTGACAGCATGGAGTTGATATGCTAGATGTATTTCAATGTACATTGAAATAAAACATAACTACTGAAATATGATGTATTTATCCATCTGCCACCTCAGACTACTTTTGCCCACCACTGGTGGTCTCTCTTGGCCAGACACTATTAAAGAGATAGCATGGTGCTGGGAACCATAGGCCTTGGCTTTTGCCTTGGCCTCTTGAATGATCTAGAGAAAGGAATTTCAGTGTTGAGGCCTCATTCTCCTCCTGTAGAATTAAGAAGCTGACTCAGTGCTGAGCTTGCTAGGGCAGTAACTCATTCCATTGTGGCCAGGAACTTACGTGTTTCTTTTGAGCAAATTCCCATGCAAAGATCCTCCTGGTGATGGAGTCCTAAGTGTGGAATCCAGGTTCTGGAGTAAGTTGGAGTTTGCTTTGGCCCTGGACCAATGAAGGTCCTTATTTCTGTAGTACCAGGTAGCCAACACAAAAAGGCTTACCAGGCTGGACGGAGGGTGAGGGGAAGAAAGCACACATAGTAGTTCAGTGGCAAGAACAGATATGTCCCACCAGAATGGGAATCCCTGACAGGTGATGGGAGGTAGTGGGTGTCCCAAGAACGATGAGTCTCTTCCACGCATTACCTCCTGGACCTCTGGGTAGCCTAGGAACTCCAGCACCCCTGCCTGTAGCCTGTGCTCAAAGGGACTCTGTCTTCCTAGGCTTGTCATGGACAGCAAGCCTCAAGATAAAGAAGTGAGTGGTCTGGGTGCTCATTCAGCAACCTTCCTTCAAAGTGAGAAGGAAAAAGAGGGCCTTGGCAAGGAAAGGGGACTGGCCAGCCTCACATAGCCAGAACGAGGCTCAGACCCTCTCAGTCCTCAGACTTCAGGCTTAGAATCCAAGATTCAGGCCACAGTCCTCTGCCACTAGTCCAGGACAACTCCAGGACTCCCAGAGTCACAGTGGTTACTACCATACAGGGAGGACAAAAGCTATTGGAAACATGCCATAGGTATCATGTAAAGTAGGCCAAAAATAAGTTCTTTTTAATGTGGGAAAATATGGTATAAAATGTTAAACTAATGTACTTAAAGATCGTAAAACAATGAATAATTTTCTAAGAAAATATCAAGTAGCAAAAGTAACTCAAGATGTAACCAAAATAGCAAGGAGAAGAAATCACACTTGGATGCAAGTCTCACATAAAATATTAAAAAAGCTTGTAGCATAATATGAAAAGGATCCATCATGACAAAAAAATTATCCAAGGAATGTAGGCATGGATCATCATTATAAACTTCATTAATGCAATTCACTAGACAATTAGGCAAAAATGAGAAATTATAACCTAAAAAATGCCCAAGAAGTATTTCATGTAATTTAATACCATATTTTGTATAAAAAGCTTTGCTGATTAGTAATAAACATGTGAGCATACATCCAACATTTTGGACAGATTTTTCAAGGGGCTTATTGGCTGCCTGGAAGAAATCAATGGGCCCGTTAGACATCCACAGACTCTGGCTTAAGGTCTCTGAGTTACAGGGAGGTGAGCCAAAGTAACACACATGAGTTATACATATAATTCTGGATTCAAATCCAGATTGGAAAGAAAGGAGTAAAACAATCCCTATCTGCAGATTACATGATGCTGTACACAAACATTCCTAAGGAATTCACTAAAAACTATTAGAGCTAATTCACAGTTCAGCAAGGGTTGCAAAATGCAAAAGAAATAATTTATATTATTTTTAATTATTAAAATAATAAACATTAAAATGATTTACAATTAATTTTATAAATCAATTGTATTTCTATATACTTGCAATGAATAATCTAAAATGAAATATGAAATTATGAAAATTCCATTTACAATAACATCAAAAAGGGATAGAATACTCAGGCACAAACTTGACAAAAGAAGTATATAACTTACACTCTGAAAACTGTAAAGGTCATTGAAAGAAATTAAAAACCTAAATAGGTAGGAAGATATCCCATGTTCATGGACTGGAAGACTTACTAGGTTATGACCCACATTGGTGTACAGATTTAACTCATCCTGGATTCTTCATAGGAATTGACAAACTAATCTTAAAATTAATGTGGAAACTCAAGTGATTCAGAATAGGCAAAACAATCTTGAAAAGGAACAAAAGTTAGAGGACTCAGACTTCCTGACTTCAAAATGTAATCAAACCTACAGTAATCAAGGCAGTGTGGTACTGGCATGAGGATAGACATATGATCAATTGTACAGAATCAAGAGTCCAGAAGTAAACCCATGTATCAATGGTCAACTAACTTTTAACAAGTGTTCAAAGTCCATTTAATGGGGGAAGAACAATCTCTTTAACAAATGGTGCTGTAACAACTGGAAAGCCTTATCCAAAAGAATGACACTGAACCCCTTACATTATGCCCTATTAACTAGGAATGAATCAAAGACCTAAATGAAAGCCCTGGGGTTATCAAACACTTAGAAAAAAACATAGGAGTAAATCTTTATGGCCAACGATTTGGCAGTGGGTTTTTAGATATGACACAAAGTATAAAAAGCAAAAGAAAAAAATAAATATGTTGGATTCCAAAATGAAAAACATTTGTGCTTCAACCTCTCAAGAAAGTGAAAAGACAACTTACAGAATGTGACAAAATATTTGCAAATCATATGTATCTGGAAAAAGACTAGAATATATAAAGAATTTAGAATCTATCTAGAATATATAGAAAACACTTATGGGGATCCCTGGGTGGCGCAGCGGTTTGGCGCCTGCCTTTGGCCCAGGGCACGATCCTGGAGACCCGGGATCGAGTCCCACGTCGGGCTCCCGGTGCATGGAGCCTGCTTCTCCCTCTGCCTGTGTCTCTGCCTCTCTCTCTCTCTCTCTGTGACTATCATAAATAAATAAAAATTAAAAAAAAATAAAAAAAGAAAACACTTATGACTCAATAATAAAGGACAAATGACCCAACATGAAAATGGGCAAAGGATATGAATTTCCCCAAGAAAAGATGTACAAATGGCTAAAAAGCCTATGCAAATATGATCAACATCACTAGTCATCAGGGAAATGAATATCAGGACCTCAGTGAGATACCACTTCACAACCACTAGAATAGTTACAATCAAAAACTCAGAAAATAAAAAGTGTTAGCAAGGATATGGAGAAACTGGAACCCTCACACACTGATGGTGAGAATGTGAAATGCTGTAGTCACTTTGGAAAACAGTCTAGCAGTTTCTCAATAAGTTAAATATAAAGTTACCATTTGACTCAGTGATTCCATTTCCAAGAGAATTGAAATATGTCCACATAAAAACCTGTACACAAATATTCATGGCAGCCTTATTCACAGCTGCCAAAAGGTGAAAATGACCCAAACATCCATCAAGTGAAAAATGAGTAAACGAGATGTAGTCTATCCACAGAACGGAATATTATTTGGCCGTGAAAAGGAAAGCAGTACTGACACATGCTACAACATGACCGAAACTTTAAAACTTTAGTTTTATGCTAAGCTAAAGAAGCTAATTACAAAACACTGTGAAATATATGATTCCATTTACATGAAATGCCTAGAATCAGTAAAGACATAAAGTAGATTAGTCACTGTCCAGGGCTGGGATCGGAGCAGTAGATTGGGGGGCTACATGAAGGGTACAGGGTTCTTACTGAGGAGATGAAGATATTCTATAATTAAATGTGGTGTAAATTGCACAACTGTCACAATTTGTGAATACAGTAAAAACCACTGAATTATACCTTACAAATGGCTAAATTGTATGTATATACATGAACTGTATCTCAGTAAATCTCCTACTACACGAAAAATGTAAGAAAGCAAATAGTCATGTGATGAAAATAATACCAATAAAAGTCAACTAAGGACATTAAAAAAAACCCAAAATAAGAAGTGATTTTCCTGATTTCTGGAAAAGGAGACTCAGTATTTTAAAGACAGCAATTTCTTACCACATATCCAGTAATTCCATGGCTGAGTATTTACCCAAAGAAACAGGAAACACTACTTTGAGAAGATACATGTGCCCCCATGTTTATAGCAGCATTTTTTACAACAGCCACAATATGGAAGCAACCGAAGTGTCCGCTGATAGATGGATGGATAAGGAAGATGTGGTGTATGTACATGATGGAATATTACTCAGCCATAAAAATATGAAATCTTGTCATTTCCAACAATACAGAAGGAGCTGGAAGGTGTTGTGCTAAGTGAAATTAGTCAGACAGAGAAAGACAAATACCATATGATCTCACTTATATGTAGAATCTAAAAACCAAATTAAACAAATGAAAAAGGAGAATCAGAATCATAAATACAGAGAACAAGCTGGTGGTCACTGGAGGGGAGGGTGGGGGGCAGGGAAGAAAGGGTGAAGGGGAGTGGGAGATACAGGCTTCCAGGCATGGAGTGAAGAAGGCGTGGGGATGAAAGGCACGGCACAGGGAACACAGTCACTGGTACTGTGACAGCACTGTGTGGGGACAGATGGGCTACGCTGGTGGTGAGCAAAGCATAATGTGTAGAGTTGTACACCTGAAGCTAATGTAACATTATGTGTTGATTATACTTCAACAGAAAAAAATAAAGACAGCAGTTTCTTTCAAATTTATCTATGAGTTCATTTCAGTCTCATTCAAAATTTGAATGGAATATATTTGGAATGTGATAAAGTAATTCTAAATTTCACCAGAAGGAATAAGTGTTTGAGAATAGCATAGACACTTTTGGAATAAAAAAGAGCACTGGGAGTTATTTGTCTTATCAGATATGAAAATCTATTCTAGAGGTCTAGGGATTAAAAGAATCTTGCAGGGTGCAGGAGAAAGCAATAGAAACATGGACCAGCCATGTACAAATATGGGCTTTTAGTAAACAATAAAAGTGGCATTCTAGATCAATGAAATGGATTATTTGGCAAATAATGTTGGCTTAATGGCCAAAATCATAAAAGTCAAATTTCTTCCAAATTAATTAAATATTAAGATGTGAAAAATAAAACCTTAAAAGAATTGGAAGAAAATGCAGGAAGCTAGTTCTCTAAACTTGGCATGGGGAGAGCCCTTCTCCATCAGCCAAGAGGAAAAGCTGGATGGGTCTGTCTACATAGAAACTAAACTTTCCACATGGCAAAAGGCCTTAAAATAAAGTGAAATGATGAAATAAAAAAATAGCTTAATAATTTCAACATTTGAGGGTATTTTAAGATCTCTAGTATATAAAATGCTTTAAAATCCAGCAAGAAAAAGACACCCTTCAAATATCATTCAGCCTAAAATTTAAACATTTTATTTTAAAATTATTTTAATTTAAAATAAAATATTAAAAACCTTTATTTTCATCAGGATTTTTAAAAAAATGAATTTGAAAGATTTTGGCAGGGCATGTACTTTTACTTTGAGACAGAATGTGAAGCTATGGGGCCCATGTGAATGTCTGTGAGGAGGGATCTTGAGCAGAAGAGAATGTTATAGTCTTCTAAGGAGAAGATGGTTCTTTGATATGACTCTATTTTCAGGTACTTTTAAAAACCAACTCATCTGGCTATCACTGAGACCCAAAGAGATTGATTAATGGACCAACCACCACCTAGCTAGCAGGTGGTCAAGTTGGGACTCAGACCCAGGGAGCCTACACCAAGGACCAGCTCCTAACATTTCTACCACAGCTGCCTTTGGGGAGACACTGCTTCCCTCCAGGCTATTTCTCATTCCAGAATCTGATGCTGTTGTGGAGCCTCGCTGCTCAACTGCCTGTGGAAGATGTGCCTGTCCATGTGCAGCTGACACCTGGGGTGCCCGTGTGCCTGTCCAGGGGTCTCAGTGCTCACAGCTCTCCTGGCTGACTGCAGGTTTCTCCAGCTGGCCCCCACATTCCATTTTCTGCACTTAGCACACAGCCACCTGGGTGAGTTCTAAAATGCAAACCAGATCAGGTTACTCCTGGAACTCTACTTCCTTCCTGTCACCTGGTCCTTAAGTCACAGGTTAGTGGCTCTTCTTCAGAGATGCTTCCCTTCAGTTTCTCCTAGGGATAAGCACATGATGTTCTAGGTGGAGTAAGGATGACGGCGAGGACTGGGGACGTAGGAGGCTCCAGGAGGCACTCCTGAAAGCTTTCAAGCAACCCTCTTGCTTCCAACCCCACTTGTGTCCCCCCATAGAAGCTCTGGTCTCTCTCACTGCTGGGCTGCCTGGTTCTGTGGTGCAAACCAGTGCCAGCACCCTTGCTCTCTCCCCGGTGGCTTAGTTTCAGCATTGCAGGGAAGGTTTCTGATGGGCCATTGGGCAACAGTTCTAATTTCCAACACTGTTGAAACTTTGCTGTGTTTCACAAGAACTGCCTCTGCAATGTCTGGATAGGCGAGATTGTGTCATGAGTGGGCAGAGTGTTGCTATCCACACTAGTACTGAACTGTATTTATTTAAGAACAGAAAATGCCCCCTAATGCCCAGAAAAGAAAGAGAAAAGGAAGGAAGAAGAGAAAGAGGAATGGAGAGAGAGAGAGAGAGAGAGAGAAGGAAGGAAAGAAGGAAGAGGAAGGGAGGGAGAGAAGGAGAAAGGGAAGGAGGGAGGCATGCTTGGGAGGAACAGGATGAGACTGCTGGGAACAGAAACATTGGGTGAGAGGGTTATGGATCTTTTTTAAAACACTGTATCTTTAGGGTTGTCCTGACCCTGTGTTGCTCAAACACATCCCATACTTCTCATTGTGACCAGGTTAAGAAGGCATTCAAGGATTTTCCTGGTCTGATTTGCCCCCAGCAGTGAGGCAGATTCCAGCTTAACATGGACAAGATACTTATAGGTCACTGGAGGTTGGCTGATTAAAGGTTGTCTCCCTCTCCCTTGCACAGGGGAGGGTGGGAAGGGAAGCAGGGTGCCTCAAGTCCTGGTGAAGGGGCCATGGGAATCCTGGAGGTGACCTCCTGGGACACCGAGCAGGTCAGAGCAGGTGCACAGATGGGCAAATGCTAATAATCAACACGAGCTGTTTGTGCTCACATGGGGGGGGTGTCAGGAGCCCAAAGAGATGTCTATGGAGAGCTGACTCTGTCAAGTGCTGGGTGTGCTTCACATGATGAATTCATTTGGGCTCACACACTCCCCTGAGTGAGGGCTGTTTATGGTTCTGTTTCACAGGGTAGGAATTTGAGGCATGGGCAATGCCCCACGAGGTGGGCACTGTCACCCTCACTGTTGTCATGCCCGCGCAAACCAAGGCACACAGTATTCAGTGCCTTGCCTGGGAGGATGAGCTGGATTTGAGTCCACAAGTCTGGCATGCTGTGCTCCTAACACCTGCCCCATAACCCCTCCAGGGCCCCAGCGGTGTTATCCGGGGATCCCCTCCAAAGGTTTTGCACTAGCTGAGATCCTCAACTTCCACTGTCTTCACTGCCCTCAGTCCCTCCAGGATGACCCCTTCCTCTCCTGCTCAGCGCCAGCCTCACCATTTTGCTCACCTTTTCACAGGTGTGTCCCCTAATCGGTCAGTGCTTCCCCTTGGTGGTGCCAAACACAGCCTGGGGAGAGCACTCGGTGGCTTTCCCTTGCCTACAGCAGCATCTCCCAACCTGCAGTCATTTCCCTGGTCAAGGTCGTGATTTTTGGCATGAATTGAACCACCTATGTACTTACCTTGTGTTCAAATCAACTCTCTACTTAAACATCTATATGTAAAAGGAAATGTCGTTGTTCTCCCGTAAATGGAAAACTAATGCTTTTCTAATAGAATAAAATAAATAGAAAACTATTAAAATTTAAAAGACTTATCTAAGGACCACCTACAATCGGGGGCTTTTCTTCCTCGCACCATTTGAAATACTACATTTATTTGTCATTGTTTATGTGACCCACTGTGAACACTCAGACTTTCAAGGCTGCATAGAGACTAAAGAAAACAGGATGGAATGATGAAAAAAATACTGAAGAGGGAAAAAGAAACATGCAGGGAAGAAGATCCCTCTGAAAATGATCTGCTGCAGGACCAAAGACGGCAGGAAGCTCACGAGTTACGGCTTCCATAGGCATCCTCGTGTCCATGGCCACCCACTTACCCAATTACCAGCGGCTTCTCCAAAAGCTTGTTAATTTGTATTTTCATCCGAGTTTTCAACGGGCAGTCCTTTTGTTTGTTTTCTTCTTAGTTGTTTCTCGCTCTAGATGCCAAGACCATTAGGGCAGGGGTCTTTTCTTTCTTTTTTTTATTGTTCACAGCTACTAAATGAATATTCACTGTCTGGATGAATGTCGCAGGCTTCATTTTTTCCTGTGTTAGTGAGACTGTGGAAGAAGGGTTCAGTCAAAGCTACTAGACAGAGTCCATTTCTAAAGAGAAGATCTGTTTGTGTTTGTTGACAGAGAGAAGTTAAAATTTGTTTTCTGGTCAAATCCATTTACCTTTCCCTTGGTTGTTTTAATCTTCGGTTTCATGTGTATTAAGTTCTCCTTCACCCCCAAGATTACATAAATATTCACTGAAATATGCTTCTAGTGTTTTTTATGGTTTCATTTTACATTTGATCCATCTAGAACAAGAAACAGGAATCTAACTTTATTTGATTTCAAGGGGTTGGCCACTCGCCCAAACTGTTTATTGAAAAAAATCCAAGCTTTCCCCACTGATTTGAAAGGTCGTCTTTTCACATATTAAATGTTTATATAACTTCAGGCTGACGTGTACATTTTTCTACTCTTTTCCACTCAATTTTGCATCATGAATTCAATGTTAAAAGATTTTATCTTTCATATCTGATAATCCCGTTCCTCCACCAATTTGTTTTCCTTTTCAAATATTTCTTGCTAGGAGATGGATTTTTTAAAAAAAACTATTATGTCTTTCTATCCAGAGACACATCACATCTCTCCATTGACTAAATAACCTGTATTTCTCAGGGAAGAGTTGGAGTCTCCTGTCCTGTGTCTGTCTCCTTGCTTATTTTGTTCTTGAAATATGATTAGGATAAAGAAATATCCTAATTTCTTGTTGAATTGTGAGTGGGATCTTTTTTCAGTATGTTTTGTTATAGTTATTTTGGGGAGTTTGGCAAGCCACAAGGCTTTGTATATTTATTTTGTAACTGGCCACTGAACCGAATTCTCTTTTCAGTTGGAATAGCTTTTGTCCCCCTGTGGCTTCTTTGGCCATTTTGCATCCATCTCCTTGCACGGGCGGGCGGGCGGTGGTAGCACAGGCAATAAAGTGACCCCCCACCACTCTGGGGGGACGGTTGGCCCTCCCACCTGGCCCTCAGCTCCAGCTCAGGGAAGAAGCACTTTCCCCTCCACGAGCATCCAGGGGTCCATCTCCAAGCAAAATATTTTTTTCTGTAAAGGAGCTTCTTTTACGTCAGTTGGTATTTTGGTCAGGAATTACAGAATGTACTTCTCAACAAGTTCAAAACACACTGCTTTTTAAAACCAGGCCTTTTCCAACAAGATCAACAATAAATGTGTTACTTTTCTCACACCTTGGACATGTAGGAAAATGTGTGCTCAGGGAGCTGGCTGGGAGCCCGCCTGGGGAAAGTGCCAGGCTAGATGAATGCTGTGTGGCAGGGGCTTGGCTTTTTCTTGTTTGCTGGACTCTGAATAGCGGCTAAGAGTCCCTCCAAATCCTGTGGGGCACCCTCCTCCTCAGTGTGCAAGCTGGCAGCAGTCCCTGGAGGGTGGGCCTCCGCAGTGCAGAGCTACGTGGGTTCACCGATTGAATGCACTCCTGTGTTTGGCTTCCAGCATCTCCCATCCACCTCGACAACAGGAGAAAAGTGCCACTCTCTTCTTTTCAGGAAGAGGAACTGTGGCTTCACATGTTTGATCCACTCCAGGACTCACAAACATTCAGGGGCAGAATCTGGATTCGAACCCAGTTTAAATCAGCCATTCTCAAATGTTTTAGTCTCAAGACCCCTTAACACCCTTTATTAATTCATTACAATTATTGAGGACCTCGAAGAGCTTTTTTAAAAAGGTGAGTTAGGTCTGTCATTATTTAATATAGCTGAAATATGACCCAAAAGACTTTGAAAGCACAAGGATGTACAGCACACATCTCATGGTCCCAGCAGAGCACGTGCACCTGAAGATGCTGCTGCACCTTTGTGAAAGGACAAGAGAGGGGCAGACCTTAGTGTTGTCATGAACATGCCTGTCATGTGGAAGACCCCCTAGAAGAGGTCCGGAACCCTAGGGCTCTCTGTGCCACACTCTGAGGAGTGCTGTTCTGAACTTGCTGAGAAGGCGGCCTTTGTGCACTCATATCAGGGTGACTGGAATTTTTGCACTGGAAGGATGGGTCTCAAGGAACTCGTTAGAGGAGGAATGGGGAGGAGGATGAAAACGGTGGTGGGGTGCAGAGGAGTTAACACAGTTTTGCGGAGTGATTCCTGTCCCTGGGTCCAGCAACCCCATGACAGAGACACGTGGACCACCGTGGCTCACTGAGGCTGAGCCAATGAAAGGGCTTGGCCACGGTCACACAGCCAACTGATGGATGGGTGTGGGAGCAGTAAGGCTGACCAGATGGAGGGGGCTGCTAGAATGACTTTGGGTGATGTGCCCCGGCCTCGAAGCCCAGGAGAGGCCCTCCCTGGTACTTTGGCCTGATCCTTGGTTGATTGAACACGAGTGGAAGGCTCAGCTGGTTTTAGCATCTTCCTCCACCAATCATCAAACTGTGCTTATGTAGGCCAGTGCCCTGGGCCATAAGAACTGATGACTGAACAAATACAGACCTCTGGACTGGATGAAGGACTGTAGTAGACAAATGGAGAGGTCACTCTTTTCTCTGGCTTTTGAAGGCGTGTCTCCGCAATCCACCACGCATCTGCGGGCCAGGTAACTATGGCCCACTGAGTGGCCGCCTCTCGTACAGATGCCATTCCCTCTGCCAGAGACTTGCCAGTTCCTCCCTCCACTAACCTGGGCACCCCCGACTCCTCGAAGTGTCCTTGGCAAAGCCTGCACCAGGGCCAGCAGTATTTCAAACTAAGTTGTCTTTCCTCTTTGCCACCCCTACTCAGCTCTGGAACATGGTTGTAGCTCTCTTGGCAGCATCTTGGTACTGCTGATCCAAGCCATGTTGGTTGACCCTTTCTCCAGCCTCCCTGCCTCCCTGCTGACCGGAAGCCACACAGATTCTGCTCTTTCTGTTCTGTCCCCATTGCTACTGCCTCAAGGGGGGGGCACGGCTGGGTCAGAATGCCCCCAACTCCCAGTGCCCACTGGCCTGGTACAGGTGCCACTTGGGCCCAGTCCTTAGAGAAGGCACAGCTCAATGTGAGACATGACATCATCTCAAGAGCAGCAATCAGGCCAGCGGGGCAGGGCTCAGAGAGGGGGCAGGGGCACAGGGGGCTTGGGGGGAGGGCAGGACTCAGCTAAGGGAGATGTCTGTGTCCAGGGAGCACATTGCAAATGGGCAGGGCCTTTTGCAAAGGCAATTGCTAAGGTCATAAGAGGGAAGGAGAGCACCCAGATAGGGAATATGAATGGCACAATCTACTAGATCTCTCTGCGCCTCAGTATCCCCATCTGTAAAATGAGTGATGATAAAGTCCTACCTTTTGAGTGATAAGGTCCTACCTTTTGGGGGACCTGAGGAGGGTAGGTGGGGAGTGGTTCTGGTACTTCTGCTGCACATGGGCAGCCGGGCTGTCGCTGACCCTCGCTGGCCCCCCAGGTCTGGTTGCAGAGGCCCCTCTCCAACCCAAGGCTCCTGCGCAGGGAGGAGCCCAGCTGCTTGGTTCGCAGCTCACATGTGCCCGTGCTCAGCCGGTGGCCTGGTGGCCCTCTCAGCCCCCGCAGCAAGGAGCGCCCTTCCTCCTTCCCTTTATTCACCAACCCTCTGCCTTCGTCCTCCCTCCCACTCGCTTGCTTGCGGGAATGTTATGAATGGAATGTACGAATTGGAGCTTGCGCTGGTGCCCAGGAATGCGGTCACCGCGACCTCCCCAGCCCCCACCGGGGCGGCGCTTGGCCTAGCCTCTGGTGCCCCAGCCGTCCTTGGCGGCCCAGCGATTGTGACCCACCCTCAGAGCCCCACAACCTGCTGGCCTGCCCGTCTGTACTTGGAGATTGGAAGGTGGCCTGGGGAGGGGAGGGGAGGGGAGAGGCCCTGGAGCATGCTCACCCCACCGGGTCGCTGTGCAGCCAGCCCCCAGGCACACTCACTTCAGCCTGGAGAATGTGTGCGCTGGCACTCAGCAGAGTGTGGGTCCGTGCACACGTACACATGCGTGCACACACAGAGCAGAGTGTACACACACACCAGACTGTACAGCACAGTGAGGTGTACACCCGGCCTTCAGGCACATGCTCAGAAACACTGCAGTGGGGATACACACACATCTGTACCATGCTCTTCATAGACACACACAATAGGAGGTGTTAGCACATTCAGAGACATGCACTCACATGCCATGTACTGACATACATGTGCACACCCCCTGAACATACACATTGAAGTGGTGCACACACCAGGCTTAGCAGGTGGCATGCATACATCAAAGGGGCACATCTATCCGTAGCATGCTGTGCACACACAGCAGAGCTTGCACACCCAGAGACCCCCAAACACACTTGGAGGAATGACCCTGGATGAATAGTCTCAGTGTCCTTCGTGGATGGCAGAAGGCAGCCCCCAGAGTGGAAGACCCTGATTCCTATCTCTGGCTCAGTAGCCCCTCTATTTGGCTGGGCCTTTTGGGACTGAGGCTTCCTGGGAGGAGGTGGGTGCACCAGGTGGGAATTGAGGGCAAGGGCAGGCACTCCTTGTTCAGGGCATTGCACTAACTCAGGCCCTTGCGTTTGTGCCTTTGTGTTTATGTTAAGCCATGACCTGTGGGCTTAAGGAGTGGAAGCTGTTGCCTGGAAAACTGGATAGCCAGTAGGGGGTCCTAAGTCTGACCGGTGGGGCCAGTCCTTCCCACCCTGCTCCTTGCTGCCATGGCTGCCAGTCAACCCCTGTGTCAGAGCCAGCTCCAGTACCTCAGCAGGCATGTTCTCACAGGACATTGCGTTCTCCCACAGGATATGGGGTAAACAAGCCTCCCGCCCCTGGGAACTGAGCATCCTGCCACACTTATTCATTCATTCATTCATTCATTCATTCATCCATTCAGGAATGATTTGCCCAAGTGCCTAGAACATGTCAGGCCCCATAGGGACACCAGTCAATGAGGCCAAGCTAGTCCCT